TTAGGGTTGACTAAAAAGAAAAAATTAAAGTTTAGAAGCGTTCGTTCATTACCTAATAATAATAGTAGTAATAATAATATTATTCATTATGATTCTTTAGATAGTGTTAGAAATTACATTTATTTTGGCAAAAATATAATAGAATTTTATACTAATCTTACTTCGTAGCGCCATCGTAGATTTTAGTAGTTGATTTATATAATTTTATAGGGTCAATTTTACTTTCTTCTGCAGGGAGGGCTTCAACTTACCAAGTTTCGGCTAGTGTATGGGAGGTAGTGGGTTAATTAAAGAAATGGTTTTTAGGTGTAGTTGGTTATATCTTTAATAGTTTCGTATTTAATTGCCCCACCGTCGAAGTAGATTCTTCTGATAGTTTAGTTCATTTTTTTTATTTTACTTTTTCATTTTTGATATGTTTATAAAATTTGTATCCGCTAACTATTACTGTTAAATAAAAATAAAAATAAAAATAATAAATTTGTACACATTTTAATAGATTAGAGCATATTCTCTTAATTATAATAAAAATATTATCCAAAATATATGGATTGTCTCAAAATCCAGATACAAAAGATTATATTATAGTTTTAGGTTATGCAAGTGGAGGAAGTTTATATTATCATTTAAATAAAAATTATGATAAATTTAATTGGACATATAAATTACATTTAACATTGAATATTATTACGGGACTTAAAAATATTCATCAAAAACAAATGGTTCATCGTGATTTCATGTAGGAAATTTATTAGTTGAACAAGAAATTTTACATGGTAAAATATATATTTCAGATATGGGATTATGTGGAGAAGTCGGTAATATAAAAGATGAAAGCAAAATTTATGGAGTTATACCTTATGTAGCGCCTGAAGTGTTAAAAGGTAAACCTTATACTCAAGCAGCAGATATATGCAGTCTTGGCATGATTATGTATTTTATAGCAACTGGAAAACAACTTTTTGCCAATTGTGCACATGATGAGTTTTTAGTATTAAATATATGTAATGGAATTAGATCTGAAATAAACGAGTCAGAAATACCAAAAATTTACATTGATATAATGAAGAAGTGTTGGGATTCAAATCCAAATAATAGACCAAGTGTTATTGACTTAGAAAAATCGATTAATTCATTTTATCCTGCTTTTGGGTACTTTATAGATAAGGAAATTAAAAAGCAATTTGAAAAAGCAGAAGAATATAGAAAAGCAAATCTTTTATCTATTGAAAGTAATCAATCAACTACTCATCCAGAAGCTTATTACAGATCTCGATTACTTAATCCATTTACAAAAAAACTTTATTCAATGGAAGTTATTGACTTCACAAAGTAAGTTAGTTATGTTTATTTATTTATTTATTTATTTATTTGATTAAAAAATATTTAAAATTTATAAATTATTAAATTTATTTAATAGGTTATAAGTCTAAAATGAAAATAAATAATTAAAGGGAATAAAGGAAATCATTGTAAAACAATAATTTTTTTTCTTGATTGATAGTTTTTTGTTCAACACTGATTATGAGGTATTTGTAAACTAGGTGAAATCAGTTTAATCAATTTGTAATTGGACAAATATTTTATTTATTTTTTTTTTATTCAACACTGATTATTATAGAGTATTTGTAAAACATTTTTACATAAATAAAATCAGTTTGTAATTGAATAATTTATCTTTTAATACTTTAATATTTAAATATTGTTGTGATAATGATCATTAATTTATATTTGCTAAATTAACATGTTAAAACCAACTTGGGTCCAAAATCAAATCTGGAATATAGAGTATAGACAAGTTTGGAGTATTTTATGCCCCAAATCTGCCCATGTTCCAAATTTATTTATGCTAATTTAGAACAATCAAGTTGGAATACAACCAAATGTCCCAAACCCAGTCATAACCAAATTATCTTCAGTTGAATGTGTTCTATCTTGAAGTATAGTTAAATCTGGTCTATTTATATGTTTACATAGATATTGGCGAGTATTAATTAGAATAGCAAAATAACAAGTTTATTTTTAAAAATCATGCAATAATTATCATGAATATAAATATCAAATATATCACATAAAATTTTTTAATTTAGACTTATCTCATTAATCTTTTATTGAACACGCTTATAAAAATTATCTTTAGTTATTTTAGCCTAAAAATTAATATGAAAATTGCTAAAGCTCACCGGCGGTGATGGTAACCGTACCAGCATTATGATGTACTTTCGGCCAGAATTAAAAATCTAATAAAATACTGGCCGGCATTACATCATAATTTCACGCCGGTGATGTTTAGTAATACCTTTTTAATATTACCAATCGTATATTGTTGTATACTTGTATTGTCTATAAAAAACTTGTCGCTATCATTGAGCAATAAAAATTTATTATATTTGAAAAACGTCAAAGTATATTGTGAAAATGTAAAACAAGCCTTGAATCGCTTTGCCACACAGATTGAAATTTGCGTTCAAAATTATGTTCTTATTTTTTTATAGTTAAAACGTCATGTCGTAATTGTATAATTTTCAATTTATCTTTCAATTTTAATATAAAAAATAATTTTATTTTCTTTTATGAGATATCTAATTTAGTTTGAATTTTTTCTCAAAAAAAATTATTTATACGTCATAGACATGAAAGTTTCTGATATATGATAAAATATAATTTTTATTTTCTTATATATCTGATATTCTATATTATCTATATTATTACATCCTTCATTAAGAAATATTTGAATAGCAAATACATTATGTACCATGTTCTTATCTTTCATATAATTAAGATTTGAAGATGCACATTTTCAAGGCTAAATTAGATTATTCTTACTACCCGATACAAGTGCTTCAAACTATTTACCTAAACTAAAATGTTCAGTTTGTGTAACTGTTAATCAGGTGATACTCAGAAGATAAAAACTTTTGTTTTACCTGTTATTTTGGTTTTGTTACTTATTTGTGTTCCACTTGATTTATTAAAGAAAAATTTTTCTTTGTCATTCGTATAACATTCATCAGACCGAGTAGGACTGAGTAGCCATCTTTATTGATCGGCGAGTGATGAAAAATTCGATCAGACAATTTGATCGGCACATTCCGACATTCCGTCCATGATGATTACTAATTTGTAAAAGAATTTATATTAGTTTAAACCAACTCACTAACCCCGGTGCAAAGTATTCTGTGCCAACATATATACAAATAATATAAAATGATTTCCAAATAATCATGTGATTTAGATAACTTTGGCTAAATTTCATAATTTTGCAAAATGTTAGACAAAACTTGTGACATAATTATATTTTCATTAGGGAATTTTTAAAAGCTTTGATTTATATTAATTACGTAATTATGATTGAATAAACTTAGAAAATAATACTAGTAAACGGAGATGAGGAGATAATTGTGAACCTGGAGCTTGATCAGCATTGTGTTATGTCGATTAATGAATTGTAAAATTAAAATAATTGAAATAATAATTATATTAAATATTTTGATCCAAATAATCCAATTGCAACGATAACACTAATTTAAACATAAATCTAAATATTATTTCCTAACCAACTATTATACCACCTCGGTTTTTACATTTAGTTCTTTAAATATATGTTTCCATTTTATTAATTTTGTTTATGACGCATCTAGACATTGTTCTAAGAATAGATTTCCTTTTTTCTTTAAGTCTAGCCCATTTTTTATACTCTTTGTTGAAAAAAAATCTCTTCCATTTAAATATTCCCCCAAAAATAACTAATGCTCATCATTACACTATTATTCATTTTAACTTCACGATCATAAATCGTAAGGTCTAATTTTTTTTAGTAATTTTAACGCGTCCTCAATGTAAAAAATTTTCCCAAATTTATGAATTCCTGATAAATTACCTAGACAGTTTGATTACAGTAAAATTATTATTTATTTATTTACTATTATGTTAAATATCTAATTTATCAACTGTGACCATTTTAACCACAAAAAAATAATTTATTTATTTGTATTATTTATTTCATTGGGAGTTGGGAATAATAGGGGTTTTTTCCCGAAGGAAAAAAACCCTAATGTTTCCCTTCCTATGAAATAAATGGTAATCCTCCGGAGCGTGTCACTCATTAAATATTAACTATTTTAAACTAAAATTAGTAATTTCCCGGCTATCTAGGAAATAAGTAAACGAAGATTCCCCGGTCATTTATAAACTCAGCCAATCACTCGCAATTTTTAAAAATTAGTATGAAGTTTGATCATGAGTGATACTTGATGCGGCAGGGGATTAAAAATTTAATAACCAAATAAATAATAATGTTAAACTTATACGTTGAATAAAATAAATGAATAATCTAATACATAAATATAAAAATGATTTTCCTACTAAAGTTTTTAATTGACGCATTAAACAAACTCGCATAGTTATTTTGGTTACAAAAAAATTATAACTGTCAAGTCTGTGGTTGCAATTCGAAAGGTACATAACGATGTACAATAATTTTATTGCCAGTCCTCCAGGTAAATATATTTCGAAATTACGTATAATGTTGTCCTAAGGGCAGTGACATTTATTACGTAATATCCATTTACTATAAGCCCATACTCCCCCACCCCCATGTAATATGAAAAATCTTACGTTACACTTATATGTTATATGACCTTTAAATACCCTCCCACCCCTAAAATATTACGTAATAAATGTCACTGCCCTAAGTTGCGTCATGTAACTATGGATTATTAAATATTTGATGTTAAAGTTCGAATTAACTAAATAAACAATTTTAAAAATAAATAAAACAAAAGTTTTACCACAAAATATATGATCCCCGATCTTCAACTATTTTTTAACAATAATTTTATATAATTCTATCTAAGCAAAAATTTTGGTAATACTATTAATAAAATAGGTACCTGATTGTATATGTTTATGCTATTAACACAAAATTTATTGATTACATTTAATTTGTATGTTTAATTCCATAAATTTATCATCTGAAATTGCAAAACTATATTAAAGAAATTATTTGGTCTGATTTTTTTTTTTTATTAAATAGATTTTTAAAAACTCATTTGTTATCAAATCATCTTCTTTCTTTTATTAACTTCAATAACATTTTTCTTTGAGTTCTTTTATGTTTTACCAAAAGCAAATTTACATTTTATAATAATTTATAAATATACTAATAGTGAACTTCTCATTATATGATACCTTTAGTAGTCTATTTTTTCAAAACTGATAAATAAAAATTCCTTCATACTGCTAGTACTATTGCCTATTTTAAATTAAGCATAGTATATTATGGCAACAGAATCTGATTTACTTCACTTTTATAAATACTTTATTCAATGTAAATAAATCCAGATTAAATGCTCTATATTAATCTATCATGCTCTTTTTTAAATTATATTGTCAAACTTGTACCACTGCATTATTATATACATTATCAACTTATTTCAATTTTTAAACACACATAAATTATAAGTCAGACTATATTACATTATTATGATTGGCAAATGATTCAATTTTTATCAATTTTGTTAATGTAATAAAGAATATAAGTCAAATGGATTATATATACTGATAAAAGTTGAGTCATTTGCTAAATATACAAATTAAATTTGATCTCCTAAGACCTAAGCTATATATGTCTAATTTTTTAACTATCATATTGATATAATATTGTTTAAAAATTATATTATTCCATATTTGGAAAATTGATACAATTTTGTTATAATATGACAAAGGATAGATTCAGTTATATATTTCATGCATCAATTTTTTTCACTTTTATATCACTATTATATTTCAATGCATCAGCTTGAGTTATACTATTTACAGAAGATTTTTTTTATTTAAGACTCCTTAAAATTTTGACTTTTCTGTCAAAATTGATTTTAAGATTTTTCACCAACTTTATTATCTTTATCTATTAAAGAGATTTTATTATCTATTAAGAGATTTTACAACTTATAATTTTTTATTGAAATTAATTAACATGAGCATATCTGAAAGCTATCCTGGTCAAAATGGTAAGTCTTATAAAATATTAATTTGATTAGTAATATTTAATAACTAATAATTTTTTTCAATTTTTCTAGTTCTTATTTCTTATATAAAAAAGCAAAAAACAAAGATTTCATATTGTGGATTCTTGAAGAATTACCATGATATCATTGTTATTTCAACATTTACAGATAACTGGAATAAGCTTAATAGTACTTGGACTGTTTTAGACAATTGGAACAACCTTGATAATCTTTGGGCTGGCCGTTTTTTAAGTGAAGGAAAAGATCTTCCTAATTTAAAAGACAAGGTGTGTAATTTTTTTATTTTGCAATGATAGGGTAACCCCTAAGTCGATCATGTGCTTGGCTTAGGGGAATTACTGGATTTGACAAACCCCAGTAACCATCCTGGGACTCTCAGTTCAGGTGTCCTAACTTTGTAGTTGATAAAAGTCTGCTTATTCTGGAGGAGGAATTTGCTATGTACCTTCTTTTATTACTAAATAAAAACTTTTGCACACTATTAATAATAATAATCTCTTTCTTATAATAGTTAAATATAGAACGTTCACGTTATGCAAGAACATCACAAATATACTGGAAAAGAATTATTGAGGAATATAAAAAAGAAAAAGACAATCATTTAAAAAAGATAATTGAAGTTTCTGCTAAAGATCAATCTATTCCTGCAAATCATTCCATCCCTGTAATTAAAAATCATTCTTCCAATTCTACCAAAGATTCTATTTTTATTAAAAATTATTCAATTTCAATTTCTGCTGAAGATCACTCCATTCCTACTAATGAACATTCTATTTCAGCCAGAAATCATTCCAAAATTTCTTTTAAAAATACTAACCTTAATAATTTCTGTAATGATATTCTTCAAAAACTTGATGAACAATCTAATATTCATCCATTCTATAATTATGATGAAGATTCAAACAAAATTATAAAAAATCAAATGGATTTATTTACAATAAATTCAAAATTGGAAAATAATCAATATACAAGTACAAAAGAATTTGAAAATGATATTCGTCTCATATTTCGCAATTGTTATACATATAATGATATGGGAAGTGAAATATATTGTCTGGGAGAAGAATTAGAATCAGCTTTTAATAGAATATGGACTGAAAAAATAATTTTTCATATTAAACAAAAGGAAAAATTAAAAAGAGCAAGAGATACTAATGATGCTGATTCATCTTCTGGTAAGTTATATATTATTTTTCTTACTTTTATGCATTATTTATATTAATATTATAAACTTTTTATATATAATTTATTAGAAATTGTAACAAAACAAATTCGAATTTTAGAACAAAACAAAGATAAATTAGTATATAGACAAGTTATAAATGATGCTTGTCTTATAGCTTCAGCATATGAAAATCTTGTTGCAGGTAATATTATACCTTTTATTGAAATTTTAAAAACATTCCTATCAACAAGATCAAAAATGTCATTATTTTCTACAGATGAGTCTGTTCTTCAGGCAATTGTTGAAAGCCTTTTACCATTGAAATATCGTATTCCTGAACTTTTATTAGTAATGGATGGCACAAAATTAAAAGGTTTTGGCCATTTTGGTTATTCTGATATTTTTGTTTTAAAAGGAATAGGAGATAACAATGTTAGTTTGGAATTAAAATACATTTCATTGGTTAATTTAATTAAATTAATTAAAATTTATAAAAATAAGTTTAATGCAAATGATTTAGAAAATCTAGATAAAATTATTGAAAAAGAAAATGAAAAGGTTTTGTTGAAAAGATCATATTCATATTGGTCAAAAGAATATGGAGAAACCAGACAAACAACTATAGGAGAAGTATTAGAAAATGGGGTTAATCAACTGAAATCATATATGAATGTCATTTCAAATGGAAAAACAATTAATTATTCTAGTTCAGGAATATTTGATGAACGGGTCAAAATAACTAAATCAAATCCTAATAAATTAAAAGGATTTGTTATTTTGGTAGTTGGCTTTCATCGTGTTTTATGGAGATCTGTAGAAGAAATAATATCTGATTATTCATATGATAAAATTTAAACTAGTATACTTAGATTTTATAATCAATTTTTATATGCAATTTTTGAGTACACTGTAAATTTAATTAGTCCAAAAATTAATTAAATAGGATATCTTAATAACCAGTAATTCAAATTGGGTAAAATAGGTATTTTAATAATCTTAAATTAGAGGTTGGAACCAGTTCAAAAAGTCTTAACCGGTTAATAACCGGTTAACCAAACCTATAACCAGTTAATTAACTGGTTAAAACTCAATCCTAGTCAGAATTAAAATTCGGCCAGGATTAGCATCAAATATATTTTTAATCCTGGCCAAAATTAGGCCAGACCAAAACTCAAACGAAACTCTAGCTGAAAGACGAAATTCAGGCCAAAATTGTCTGGCCGGCACTATGAATTTCGGCCCGCATTATGAATTTTATATAACACAAAAAATTCCACCACCTGGTCCGTTGGTATTTTACCTGGTGGCTAAACTTTTATCCGAAGTCCCGTGATTTATAATTCTGGCCGGCACTGTAAATTTGGCCAGAATTACAAATATTTTCAGCATTTTAACCGGTTCCAACCTCTATCTTAAATAAGCAATTAAATTTAGCATTAAATTAATATTAAATTCTTTCATTGATAAAAAATTACAATTTTTCTTATTCAATTAGAAATACTATTTATTTTCTATTATATTAAGCCTTACTACTGAAGTCTCATGTATATAAAATACCTTAATATAATAAACTATAATTATAAAAAAAAAAATATCAGAGAAAAAGCATTCTGGTCTATTATTTGTATAATGCAAAAATCAATACCAACTAAATACTTTTATATGTTATGTTAAGTTATTATATTGTAATTTAGTACAATCTGTTGAATGCTAAGTTTACTATATTTATTAACTTTATGCATCATATCATATGACTAAAAATGAGTTTAAACCATTTATGGATGGGGATCCTTAACCTGTACCCCCGGGTATAGATTATTATCCTGTACCCCCTTTTCCTTAAATATGATTGGTTTAAAATTGAAATTATCAGCCATAAAATTTATTGGATGTTTTTTTTTTGTGCAACATTTGCCTTAGAAATATTTTTCGTTCGCGCGAAAAAAATGCAAAACTTCAAAAATATTTTAATTTCATATTTAACAAAAAAAAAAGAAAAATTTCAATATCTTTAATATTTTCAATATCTTTAATATTTTTAATATTTTTAATATTACATTACATTTCAAATTAAAATAAAATGTTTAATATGTATTTTATTAAATTTAATAAAAAATAAAATACGAAAAATTTTTATAGAAAACCAAGAAATACTTTTATTCATTCATAAATATTCAAGTTAATTGAAAAAATTAGTATTCAGTAGACTTACTGAACAATTTTATGTATTGACAAAAGCCGGTTTAGTTTAACTAAAGTGTTGAAATTATGTTACAAAATATAAATATATATACGCGCACAGTAAATTCCATTGCAAAAAATAAATATAACTTCACAAACATCCATGCTAGCTTGGTGAAAATTCATATCTAAGTAGTTCCATACCCATTAAACAACTTTACTTAATCAATAAAGGCCAGTTTTGTTTGACCAAAGTGCTTAAATTACGCCATAAAATATCTGCACGAAAATATTACAAAAAATTAGCATAACTTCACAAATATTCAAGCTAACCTGATGAAAATTAATATACAAGTAGTTCTATACCTCGTAAACAACTTTACTTATTCAATAAAGGCCAGTTTTGTTTGGCAAAATTGCTTAAATTACGCCACGAAGAATCTGCACGAAAATATAACAAAAAATAAGTATAGCTTCATAAATATCAAAGCTAGCTTGGTGAAAATTAATTTTTAATAGTTCCATACCTGTTAAACAGCTTTGCTTATTTGATAAAAGTCAGATTATTTGTAAAATTATATGTAATAAATTTTAGATAAAAAACGCGTCTGTTATCAAAAATAAAGTGTTAAATGTGAAAAATATTCACAACTTTATAAATAATACTTCATATCCAAGTCAATATTAAATATTATCTAACTTTTTAAAGCTTTTAAAATATTTAAAAAATAAAAAAAAGAAAAAGGAAAAGAAAGTGGGAAAGGAAAAGAAAGAGAGTGCGCGCGTATTGCGTATAAAGATAACTGGTAAACAACAAATAAATCCATGTGGCTGGGGCTGATGTGGCTGATGCAGGGGAACAGGATAAGAAGCGTATACCCCCTGGAACAGGTTAAGATTCCCCTTTATGGATAGGTGTTGTAATTTAGTAGGTACTAATAGATAATAAAGTTTAGATAATTTAATAAAATTTACCCAATTTAGAAAAATTTCTATGAAAATTTGGCGATTATTATTGAAATGCAAAGGGACAATTTACTGAAACAAATGAGTAAATATAAATTATGTATACACAGTGAAATTCGATAAACTGGATCTATCGGTTCCACTAAAAATATCCGGTTTATTGGGATATCCGGTATATCGAAAAAACTGAAAATTTATTATACTGAATTTTCAAAAAATTTTCGTGCTAATAAAACTAATATATGCTATAATTTAATTTTTTCATCTTAGTTTTAAGTCATAGAGTTCATAAAAATGAATATAAAACATTTTTAATTGAAGATATAAGTACCGTAATACATAACTTCAGCCGGCCGGAATTAAGATTCTTATAATTCTGGCCAAAATTAAGATTTACTACATCACGTTACTTAAATTTTATTGGTTAATGAACACGTGATCCGGTTTATCGAATCATTTTTACTATAGCTGATTAGAAAATTGATCCGTTATAGTGAATATCGAGCTTTTACTAGTAAACTCCGGTATATCGAAACTATTTTAATATACGTGATTTGGTTCCAGCAAAAAAGTCCGGTTTAGGCCCAAATCTGGTTTATCGAATTTCACTGTGTAGTTGATAATTTCGCAAGTGCTTTTAAAAATAAATCATTTTCCATATTTTTGTGCTTCAATATTTTATTTATTAATATCGGAAGTCCTATAAAAAATTTTCTGGGGAAAATTCATTTTTCTAGTTTAATTGAATAAACATTTAACATATGTATTATCTAGTTATAATAAAATATAAAGAATTTAATATAAATTTTATTTATTTGTTTTGTAGAGTATAAAATAAATTTTAATAAATTCATTGATAATTTTTTAATAAATAGTAATAACTAATATAAATAACTTTATTAACAAATAAATACAGTACAAAAATTTATCTTAATAGTAAATACAAAATTTGTTAATAAATAGACACGAAGATATTGGAACCGGATCGGATTCAAAAATATGAATTTTTGTGCAAGACTACTGTTTAAATTAGGAAATTTATATAGATTTGTTAAATTTATATCATAAACAATCCTTTTAATCTCCAATTTCAAAATACAAATACAAATAAAATAAATACGATAATCTTTTATACTTTAATTTTAAGTAATCCGAGTTTAATTACTTTCGTCTATAATAAAAGATAGTTTTAATTAAAATTTAATAAATCAAAAAAATCACATACAGGAATAATTTACCTTTAGAATTAATATCAAGTTTAGTAAAATCGATTTTTAAGGAATCTACAAATATTAGTTATTAGCATTGTAAAAACTAATTTAAATATGTTTACCTGAATATTCTATTCCATGAAAAATGGTGATTCAATTCAATTTTTACTTAAATAACCATAATAATGATATAAATACGACAATAAATTTGATTCTCTTATATAATATGCTGTTAAAAATCCAAGTAGGGTACCATTTATGTCTTGAATTTAATGATTCACAAAAATAATCTAGGAGATGATTCATATTATTTTCAACACGAAAATCATATGATAACTTCGCAAAATTGATTTTGTTGAAAATGGCAATAAAAGAAATAACTTTGATTATTAAATTTCTTGCCATATTTAAATTATATAGAAATTTTTACATTGAAAAGTTAGCTGATAATTGTTATATTAAAATAGCATTAAAATTTTTTATTAAATTAGAGTATTTACACAAAATTAATATACTCAATGATTTTTTTTTTAAATTGATAATTTTTCTTTTTTTTTATTAAAGAACATAATTTTCCAAGATCTTTTTTTTTCGACAGTTATGAAAGGAATTTTTTTTGAAGATTTATTAATGGCTTAGCACATTATATGATTGAAACCTAAAATCTTTTCAGTCATAGAGTATTTGTATTAATTCTATTATTTATTAATACCCATCAAAAAATGCAAGATAAATTTAACGAATTAATTTCATCTCAAAACTTCTAATCATCATAAAGTTTTACTTTACTATTCATTAATATTTAAAGCTCCCTGACAAGTTTAATGTTTACTTGTTGAAATGTAATATTAGTTATACCATGCAAGTATACTGTACCATGCAATCAGTATCCGTTATTTATTATCATTTCTCTATTATTTTTTAAACAGAAAAATGACTACTTGTTTTGATAACTTTCAAAGACACTATACTGATGTATCTATTATGGGAGACAGTATTAAACTATACCTTTTTTCTTGAAGTAATATTTAAGGTTATTTATTTTGTTTGAAAATCGTTTAATAATTTCTATTATATTTCCAAAATTTACAAAGGATATTAAACTATAATTTTATATCAAAATTCAACTGGTATTCTTGAAATTATTTATCAAAATGAGTCATTTACAGGTTTGTGGAAGTTTTGTCTTAAAAAATTTGTCAAAGAACCTAAAATTTTATTTTTAATTCTGATAATTTTATTAATTTAAAAATTTCATAATTGGAATTATTAAGAGATGATTTAAATATGGATGAAATTGTAGTTTGAAAAGGTTTAGTGAAATGGTGTTTTACTCACAAAATATAGATAATGATCCAACCAAATTAAGCGAGATGGATTTAATGCTGAATCATTTTATATAAATTTTGATAATAAAGGAACTACTATTTAGGTAGCAAAAATTCGACAATTAATTGGAGGATATAATCCACTTGATTGGAACGGAAATTGTTGGAAAATTACTAAAGATAGTGTTTCCTAATTTATAGTTTTATAAATAAAAAATATTTCTACTTCTAAATTAATTGCACATGAATATATATGTTTATATTTATTTATCTATAAATTTGTTTAAGGAGTATTTTTTTATGATAGTTTTACGTCCTTTTGGACTTCGTTCAATCATTTTTTTTTTTATTTGAGAAAAAAAAATGATTTTTTTGATAATCAATTTATTGTGGATGATAAATTACTGTACGAATCAGAAATTGCGCTATTAAGTATTGGATTATGTTCATTCATTACACGACTTAAGATAGTTTTACAATATTAATGCCGAATATTAAATTTTTAGTAATACTATACTCACCACTATAAAGATCTCCGATTATATCCTCCAAGAATTTCCACTTTAACGGTCCGAGAATAATAATTACAAAATTGATGAAAATTTATTTTCATGTGTAAGTCCGTCCATCACGCGTTTCACGAAATAATAATTTAAATTTTTATGGAGAAATCATCGTCCGTGATATTTAATCTATTGAGATTAATTCAACATGTTAATGTGTAATAATCATGCTTTTTAAATGGACTATAACCACGATTAAAAATACTTTAATAAATTTATACATAATTTCTCGGATAGAATATCTTTATAAAGAAATGCATTATTTAAAAATTCTTTTTTTGAAGTTAAAGAAATGTATTCCTTTTATTAAAATTTTAAGTTATTCTTTAAAATAATGAAATCATCTTTTGAATAACTTGTTTAAATTTAAGAAAAAATTTTTTTTCTCCAGAATTGAATACTTGCCCGTTTCTGCATTCTTTTCAAAGTTCACTTGTAAGTTTTACTTCCCGAATTCTTCTGTTTCTTTTGTCCGTTTCTGTTATTTCGTTCATAATCACTTGTAAGACGTACTTCACGATGTTCAAGTAGTTTTAACACTTAGGATCGGTAATTTGGTCTGGTTTATGGTTAATATTAATTTTTACTGAATAAATTAATTTATAGTTCAAATTAAAGTTTTTGTTTAAAATATTGAATTAAGCAGATAATCTTAGCCAAAAGAAAAATCCAATATATGATCAGAGGTGTTTATTATGTAATTATGTATGAATCAAGTGATTCGTTTATTTTTTTTTTTGTATGAGAAATAACTAGTAATCAATTAATAATTGGATAAATTTTTATTTATAATATTTTATTCAATAAATGTATATGATATAAATTATTACTATAAAAAATATTTCTATTAACACCTTGTCGAAGAGATTTTGACTTCGATTACCATCGTTGTTTGTCACGTGCCGCTAATTAGATCTTCCGCTCCGGACTAAAACGGGAAACGTTCCCTAGTTTTAATTTATTAATGGTATTATTATGGTTTCTAGACAAATCAAACTTCAAATTCAATTTAGTCCAGAAAATACATGTTAGCGTCGAGATTTGACTGAAGAAATTACTAAAAAATATTTTGCATAACTTAATATTTTTTATGTCAATTTATAAAATAAAAAAATTATGTATGGAGGAGAAAGTTTCACATAATTGCCGATCTGCTATTTGACGATGGTGTCAATTATGGTACATATAATTCTATATTAGCTCTCATAGAATTAAATCCTATAGGTGGGTTGTTTAGAGAAAATATTAATGACGTAGCAAGAAACCTGCTGATCAACCGTGTATTACTGTGATACGAAATTTAGATTTTAATTATTCCTTTTTTATCCTCATTAAAAATATAATTTAAAGTAACGCAAGTAATGCAAGTAACACAAATAACGCAAATAACGCCTTTTTTTATTTCTACCCAAAATATATAATAAAAAAAATTAAAGATGGATAAAGGAAATGAAACTCAAGTTCCTATAGAAACAGAATTTATTAATTTAAATATTTCGGATAAAGATTCTAGTTCAGTAAATATTAGCGATAAAAATTGTTCTTATTGCAATAAACCATTTATCGAAGAATTATGGTGTAAAGAATGTGATCCTCGTCACATGTTTGAAGGTTGGACCAGCGGAAATAATGACATTGATAAATTTATCAAAGATACAATTTATGATGCAAGAAATGGTCCTAGGTCTATATTTCTTGAATGGGTACCATTTGATAGGTTTAAAGACGTAAAGCAAATTGGTGTAGGTGGGTTCGCAAAAGTGTATTCTGCAACATGGATTGATGGTAAAGCAGAATATGATTACGACTGGAAAAGAAAAGAACCTCAACCTATCAAAGTCGCTTTGAAAAGATTAAATGGATCAAAGAATATGTCAGCTGAATATTTGAATGAGGTATGTTTTGTATTGACTTTACATATTTTACTTAATTTTCAATTAATCAAATTAATCAAAAATTTTAATATTAATTTTAATGTATGTAAATAATAGCTTAAAATAAATTGGGATTATTGTAAAACAAATAACATAACATTAAAATTTTATGGAATGACCAAAGATCCTGAAACTGAAGAGCTTATGATGATTTTAGAATTCGCAGATCGAGGAACTATGAGAAGTGTTCTTTCACACAATTTCAATAATATTTTATGGAAAGATAAAATTCTTTATTTACTTTGGATAGCATATGGTCTAAACGAGTTACATAAATTAGGATATTTTCATAAAGATTTTCATAGTGGAAATATATTGCAAATTGCTAATAAGGATCGCAATTATTCTTATATTTCAGATTTTGGATTATCTGGACCATCAACCAAACAAAAATCTGATGATAAAATATGTGGAGTAATGCCATATGTCGCACCAGAAGTTTTGAATGGAGAACCATATTCATTATCCTCGGATATTTATAGTTTTGGTATAATTATGACAGAATTATCATCTGGAAAACCACCTTTTTATAAAAGAAAACATGATACTACCTTAGCATTAGAAATATGTAATGGACTCAGACCAGAATTTGGAAAAGGAACTCCTGAAATTTATAAGAAACTAGCTTATAAATGTATGAATGCTAATTCAAATCAAAGACCAACAGCCAGTGAATTATTTGATATAATACAATTTTGGCATTATTCTAGTATTAAAAAGGATGATTATCAAGAAAAAGAAAAATTTGGATATAAAGGAAAGGAAATTAAAGCTATGTTTGAAGAAGCTGATAAGGAAATACCAAACATTTCAACTTTGTATGAGATAAATCCTGATGCCATATATACTAGCAGAGTATTTACATTTAGCAATTTAACTAAACCTGTTAATTCATCTATTATTACGTCATACCTTGATGAAGAAAATAATGAAGGTATTATTTTTAATAATTTTTAACCAAACTTTTAATATTCCTTAATTGCTAATATTATTACTTTTATAGATTGTAAAGATTCTAAATTATTTGACTTAGAGGTTTCTAGCTCATTACAATTAAAAGGTAGGTAATAGCAATATATAATTCATATAAATTAATTAATTTAATATGAATACATATTTAATTTATGGTAAAATTTGTCTTTTTTTTTGTTATATTTTTATTTTTTTTAAATTATATATTTTAATAATCTATAGTTATTATGTAATACTGGGCAACATTATATGTAATTCTGATCATAATTTTATTTTTATTAAATAAAATTTGAAGAAATTCAGTACATCGAAGATCTGTGATACGATAACGAAAAAAAAAATTATTTTTAAAAATTTACATTAATTTATCTATAATAAATTTTATACGTTTAACACTACAATCATGTTATTATGATTTAACAACACGATTAATTATAAATTTGATTAAATTATTTTCTTAAAAAAAAAAAAATTCTTTTTCATGGTCAATAAATTAAATATTTAAAGGGATCTTACAATAATTTTATCGTTAAATAAGGGAGCTTACGGTTTATAAGAAAATGAATATTACGTGATATGTGTAACTCCCCTAACCGAATTAAAATGATAATCAGTTGATAACAAAAATTTATACAAAATTTAAGATGTATGGAAAAATGATTCTGATAAATATACGATATATAGTTGATCGCAATATCCTATTATGAATATTGCTCAAATTGCTTTCAACAATTAAAACAATAGATTTTTGTAGACCGTGATAATAATGAAACGATTTAAAAAGAAATTTGACGTACTCATTTCATTATTTCATATTTTTCTATGTTAGTAAATATGTAATTTAATTAAAAAAAAATCAATGATATAGTGTTCGAATTAATTTTACTACTTGTGCGTCGTGTGCTAATTTCTTACGATCCCCGTTTGTAAATTTATACTATATAATCTCATAATCAGATTTTCTTTTACATTTATTGTATCAATTGTATTTGATATATTAGTCTTTATATTATATTATATCAATAAAATTTAATTTAAACAATTTTTTGAAAATTTCAATATCATTTTCGATGAAATCTAAAATATTCAAGATTTAAATACTACATGTATTAATCGCTATTTTTACTGTCTAATTTTTCGATAATAAACCTTCATTCAATATCGGTCAAAATTATGATTTGTGTCATGTTTTCCGTAAAGGTGACAAGAATTTATCAACTCTGACTCCGGTCCGTTGCAACCGGTTATGCCTTACAGTGTCCGGTCTGATGATCTTTCTGAGTCCAGTCATGTCAATTTTTAGTACAGTCATGTGGATTTGGGTCCGGACCCTCGGACCATGCGGTCCGATGATCCGCTTAAAATCACTTGAGTCCGATTAATTGTAAAGCTTTGATCTACACTGGATTTTTTTTTGCCATTCGCTTCATAATGAGTCATTAAAAAAAATATTTTTAATTTAATGAGATATTACTATTATGCCATAATGAATAATTATAATGGCATTAATATTATATCTGTCTCTTATACACATCTAGATGTGTATAAGAGACAGGATCTACACTGGATTTTTTTTTGCCATTCGCTTCATAATGAGTCATTAAAAAAAATATTTTTAATTTAATGAGATATTACTATTATGCCATAATGAATAATTATAATGGCATTAATATTATATAATTAATAATTTTAATTAATAATTTCAAATTTGTAAGCCTTCCAAATGAAATTTTACAAAGTATTTCTTTCAATTTTTCATGTATTTAATTTTATAAAGAAAAACATGGATGTAATTAACATTACTGAAAATAATAAAAATAATATTACATTTAGTTCACTAATAGAAATACCAAATGTTAGTTATAAAATTTTCGTGCCAATATTAATATTAATGTTATATTTTATAATAATATTAAATACTATTATAATTGTAATTATTAAATTCAAGGAATGTAGATCAGATCAGTCGTGTAAATTTAGTTCAGTCCGATTGATCAACATCACAGGACTCGGCACAATTAACTCAGCCCGATGGTAGTGAAGTCCGATCAAAGTTTAAATTCAATCCGCATCAAAATTCACATGACTGTGCTAAAAACTGACATGACTGGACTCAGAAAGATCATCGGACCGGACTCAGTAAGGATATACTCCGTTGCAACTATTTATGGAATTTTGATTACCTATTTATTTTCTTTAATTCTAAATTAACGAAAAAAATAATAAATAGGTAACAAGAGAGATCGCTTCACTCTTCAGGGACAGAATTACGTATTACCGCCTGGCATTATTCAAAAAAAGAAAGGATCTACACATTATTTAGGCATCCTTACTATTGCTCGGGTCCTATAACGCCCAATAATACTATTTTATTCTTTTATTATTTCTTTTTTTAATCTAATTGATTTAATTAATTAATTATAAAAAAAATAACGCTCAATAACGTAAAAGACGCCAATCATTCTTTATGAGGAATTTTTTCATTGATTTCATTGATTAGAATGGAAGCCCAATAACAAGTATGGTATATTATTTTCATTATTTTATTCCTTTATTTAGAATTCTAATTCCTTTTTAATCCTCATAAATTTAATTGATTATAAATACGCTTAATAACGTAAATAATTTTATATCGTAATATACGAAAAAAAAAATATAACAAATAAAAATAAATCTGAAATCTTCAAATATAAGATGAATAAAGAAAATGAAACTCGAGTTTCAACAGAATCTAATGAATTAAATATTTCCGATAAAAATTCTAACATCAACCTTGAAAATTGTTGTTATTATTGTAATAGACCATTTACCAAAGAATTATGGTATGAAGAATGTGACCCATTTAGAATGATTGAAGGACCAGTGGAAATAATGATATTGATAGATTTATCAAAGATACAATTTATTAGGTTATGCCTTACGGTGTTTGGTCCGATGATCTTTCTGAGTCCAGTCACGTCAATTTTTAGCACAGTCATGTGAATTTGGGTCCGGATCATCGGACCACGCGGTCCAGAAATTCGCTTAAAATTACTTGGGTCCGATTGATTGATTATAAAGCTTGATCACGATTTTTTTTTTGCTTTTTCGCTTTATAATGAGTTATAAAAAATATTTTTTTTTTTACTATTAAATATTTAATAAGATAATGGTTTTAGTTGATGATATAGTATATATAAATTGCTAAGAACCTTTTGTTTCAATAAATTAAGATGCAATTAATTTTTGTTTTAAGTTTTTAAACATTTTATTGTATAAAAATGTTTATTTAAATCTACAATTAATAAAAAAATAAAATGTAGATCGGTCATGTAGATTTAGTTCAGTCCGGTTGATCAAAATCACAGGACTCAGCACAGTAACTCAGTCCGATGGTAGCGAAGTCCAATCAAAGTTTAAATTCAGTCTGCATCAAAATTCATATGACTTTGCTAAAAATTGACATGACTGGACTCAGAAAGATCATCGGACCGGACTCAATAAAGATATACTTCAATTTATTACGTAAAAAATGATGAGAGATTTCTTGAATGGATAACATTTGATAAATTTGAAGATATAAAGCAAGTTGGTGAAGGCGCATTTTCCAAAGTATATTCTACAATATGGACTAATTGCAAAACAAAATATTCTAAACAAGATGATGGAAGTTGGAAAAAAGAAGAATCAAATCCTATAAAGGTTGCTTATTAACAAAAAAAATTAGATATCCTAATAACAAAACGTACCACATTTAAATGTTCATCTAACATATTTTGTGATCAATTTAACTTTTTCAAAGTCTGCCCTTAATATAGTGAACTCTGACACATGATATTAAGTCAAATTCGTAAGAAATTCTTTCGTTATATCTCCTAATTCTATTACAACGGATTTAAGGATAATTCGCTATATCGAGGACAAACTGTGATAATGATTAATGATAATTTAAAAATTTTCTATTAATGTTATGATTTTCGGTACCTTAAATTTATAGCTTAAAGTACATTGGAATTCAAGTAGAACCTCATTAACTTTTTATGGTATGACTAAAGATCCAGAGACTAAAGAATTTATGATGGTTTTAAAATTTGCAAATCAAGGAAATTTGAGAAGTTTTTTCTCAAATAATTTTAACAACATTTTATGGGAAGATAAAATTAATTATTTGTATTGTTTAATATATGATCTTGAAAATTTACATAATATTGGATATTATCATAAAAATTTACATAGTGGAAATATATTACAAATCGATAATATACCTTATATTTCAGATTTTAGAATATCTGAACCATTATTTAAACAAAAATCTGATGATAAAATATGTGGAGTATTACCATGTATTGCCCCGGAAGTTTTGAATGAAGAATCATATACATTTCTGTTATTTATAGTTTTGGTGTAATTATGGCTGAATTATCAACTGGAAAACCACTTTTTTATAGTAGAAAACATGATGCTAACTTAGCATTAGAAATATATAATGGGATTAGACCAGAATTTGGAAAAGGAACTCCTGAAATTTATAAGGAACTAGCTTACAAATGTATGAATGTTGATTCAAATCAAAGACCAACAGCCAATGAATTGCGTAATATTTTAATTTTTTGGTACTGTTCTTCTCATGGTGATAAAGAATTTCAAGAAGAAGAAAAATTTGGATATAAAGGAAAAGATATTAAGGCTATGTTTGAAGAAGCTGATAAAGAAATACTAAATATTTCGACTTCATATGAAAAAAACCCTGGTGCTATATATTCTAGTAAAGTATTTACTTTTAACAATTTAAAAAATCTAAATTAGTTCATCTAAATAATAAAGGTATTATTGTTTAAAAATTTATTATTATTATTTAATCGTGTAATTACTAAATTGATTGCTTTTTATCGATAACCAAGATTCTTAGTTATTTGACTCGGAAGTTATTAAGCCCATTACAATTTAGAGATAATAGAATATTTGGTTTATTTTAAAACAACAGTATAGACGGTTTTAGTATTTAAATAATGCTAATAACGAAATAAATTTCATTATTTTATTATTATTTTTTTTTATTTATTAAAATTTCTTATATTTATATTATTTGTTTTAATTATGCGTCCAATAACATGATTTGTTTAAAAATATCAAAAAGCTTATATCATTTTAAATTGAAAATAACTATATTTAACTGAGACCTACCGAATATTATGCATAGGACGTTAAGAATATAGGAATGTGGTTGGAATTTTTACAAATAATGATACTTTTCCCATTATACCACGTCCCAAGCTAATATTAAAAACCACAGAATAAAAAATCTATAATAAATTCCAAGTTATAGAAATAAACATTAAATTAAATTACTTTTAATGCTCCTTCCAAAATTCCTGGAAGGGAAATTAGTAAATAAATAATCCTTCACAATTGTTGTTTATATTTATATTTGGATTTGGAGTTCATATATTTCATATATCCACAGAAATGACAGAGCACAATGACGTATAACAAGTCACTTTATTATTAATAAAAGTAAAAAGTATAATATAACTTTAATTAAAATACATCAAAAAGAACAAAAATACACTTGCTTTGAAAATTAATAATTTTTATTTATATCTTAATAGGCTGGATTTACAATTTTTCAATAAAAATATCAATCATATTATTAACCAAATGAGGAAATGGAATCTCAGGTAAATACCGCAACAAGTCTAATCATTTATTTGGGCGTCAGTCAAAGAAAAAGAATAAACTAAAATAACAATCACTTCTATTTACAACGTAATATTTACTTGAATTCAAGTGCTATAAGATTTTCTTTGAGTCGAACTGATTATAGGAAAGTTAACTCCAGGTTTTTGTTTATTAATGCCTCAAATTGGGCGGACTCATAGCAAAAGGTGGGGCTCAGACAATCACATGATTTCGAAAAAATCGAACTTTAATATTATTGGTTAATTTAATCATTTTTAAAGATTTTTAAAATCAATTTTTCGCAAGCTAGGGTAAATTTTTGCAAGGAATTCATTAAAAGCATTAGTTTTTTTCCAAAGCATCTATATTATTTGTTAAATGCAATAATAGAAAAATACAAAATTTGCAAATTCTTAAATAAAAAATTTTTTATTAATATATTATAAACAAAAATTTTTTTTTTCTGAATAAAATTTCAAAAAAAAACTTTTGGCCAAGCCCCCCTTTTGCTACAAGTCCGCTCAAATAAAAAAAAAGATTTATGTTAATTTAATAAAAAAAAAAATTGTAATATTAAATTATAAATAATTACCTGAGCAGGAGTTCTATTAGGCCACACAAATTCAATTTTTCGGTTCACGTAACATTGAAATTTAAAATCGACCTGGGGACCCAGGGTTTATTGTTTATTAGTAAAAAAAGTTTATATATAAAATCGTGACATCTGATTGGTTTACTTTTATTTTTTATTTTTTATTTTATTTATTTTATTACTAAAAGAGTAGTACTCCCAAAACTATTACAAAATAAGAGTAAAACATCATTTACATGATGGTACAAAAAGGCATGTATAGAATTTTGGAAATTAATCCCCTACGGGACCCCACCCTTCGAACAATACTATTCAAACTACTAGAACTACGCTAATACTTCGAATGGGGAAAAGAAAAAAAGAAAACCTAAAGACCCATCCGTAGAAAAAGAATCTAAAAATAAAACAATTATATATATAGAAAATTAATAGTTCTAGAGTGGTATAGTCTATAAAAAGCAACGCATGCGAACGACCATGGAGGATTCGCATTGATAATTAGTAAATAAGGTTGTGTTCTCATGATCCATATTTTTCTTTTGGCTAAAAAAGCCACCACCTGTAAATACTGTTAGAGGTGGAATGGTTCACACTAATTTTGAGTTGTTGTATGGATAATCCTGACTCATTACAAAAGTTAATATTGAGCAGAGGTAGAACCTTCTTCCAGGGAGTCATCAGGGTAACTGGTAGAAGTTCCTTTATGTTTCTTGTAAAGTGATTGTTGATTAGAAGTGTCTTTGGAATCTTTAATAATAATATTATCGAGTTGCACGTTGATGATGTCCCATTGACGTTTATTATTCTCCATAATGTTTTGTTGTAAATTTGAAAAGTCATTATATTGTTGTATATTATTGTCATTATGTGAAGTAATGTCACTAACTGATGTATTATCTAAAGTAAAGTGGGTAGAAATAGGACTAGAGGTGGTAACCCTAAAGTCTCGAAAGGGTAAAGTACCGTTTTTAATATTCTTTCGTAAATAATCAAACCACAAACGTGATCCAGGGATACAATAAGTATATGTAGGGGGTCTAACTTTTTTGCTCTTTTTATATGGTAATGGGTCCATCATATATATTGGTCCATCAGGTATATATGGGCGAAGTTCGTTCAGAACAACAATGTTATCAGGAACAGGGTCCATATCCGGCGGAAGAGGATAAACGATATCTTTACAGAAAGTAGTAGAAGGAGTAACAGCTTCAATAAAGAAGCTAGTAGATTTTTGAGATCGAGGTACATGATTATAACTAGAACTAAAATTATAGGTGATATGATTTGTTCTCCAAATAGGGGGTACTTTCTTTTTAAAAGAAAAAAAAGGCACATTAAAATTATAATCAGATTTTTTAATACTTCTTCTCTTGTTTGAATATCTTAGATGTGTGACCGGTTTATCTATATATTGTGATGGTGAGGTAAGAAATCTGCGGCGAAAAGCCAACCTAAGTTTTTGTAGATCATTTAACTTCCGTAATTTGTTGTTCTTATTATAAACGCGAGTACACTTCCGCTTAAAGCGAGCCTCTTGTTTCTTTTTCGTCGAATTATTGGTACTATAATTGTGACTGAAATTATTGTAACGCTTTTTATACATATAGCGATATTTGTTGTGTTTCTTAAAAATATGTTGATGACCGTTAGCGTAATAACTGACGGTGTATTTAATTCCTAATCGATTTGAATAGACTTCTTTTTTTGTGTGCGAAAACCATTTGTTAAACACATTTGATGCATGTGTGCTCTTGTTGTTGTTAATTTCATTCCTTAGATTCTGAGTAGGACGCAGGAAATGATTCACTTCCATACAAAAGAATTTCTTCTGATGCATCACGCAAGCACGTCGATGATGCGACATAATGAAAGGGGATGGAATTTGACAAAAACAAAGAGTTTTTGGAGTTTGTGTAAGGAAAGTAGGTTTGTCTGATAAAGAGTCAGATGTACAATCAGGTAAACAAGGAATATAAATACCGAAATGAAAGCGATATTTTTTGTAAGAAAAATTAAAAAAAGTTTTTGTAGATCTATTACGATTGCTATTACTAGAACCACGTGATCGTATTATATTAATTCTATCCAATAATTTTGAACGAATAAAATCAAAAAATTTTGTTTGTATTCTACGAGGCAGAACTTCTTGTAAAGAAAAAAAGTGTGTGAGCATTTTACTAATTTGGTATTTGTGATTAGGGAGTCTACTTGTGGAGGGAAACCTAATTGGTGTAGTATCCATCGTGTAATCGTTAGTGTGGATCTTCAGGTGAATTTCATTGGTGTTTTTATTAGGATCAGCAAGCTCAAAAAAGAAACTTTTTGAGCGGCGGAAATCATAAATCCTGTTATAACCAGATCTGTTGGAGTTTGTCACGTGAAATTTTTTCATAGAGACCAAGAAAGAATTTTTTCCCACCGGAAAATGAAAAGGTTTTGATAAAGACATAATAAAAGAGTGTAAAAAAATAATATTATATAATAATAATAATGTAAAGAGCTAAATAATAAAATTTTTTTGTTTTTATTGAAAATATTGAAAATATGAGATGTCGTAAAGTAATAAACTCTTTGTAATAAAGTACTTGTGTATCTATTGAAAATATAAAGTAAAAAAACTTCACCCTTCGAAAAAGGTCGTATATTTCGTTTAAAGGTCGAAACCTTTACCATATGTATATACTGTAAGATATGGAATGATGTCGTCAAAAGACGTATCCGCACTTGTGTGAGGTTTTAAGCAGAAAAAAAGTAATAAATTTCTTGAAGTTATAAAACTTTACTGCGCCAAGTTATGAAAATTGTGATTTATCAGAAAGAGTTTTTTTTTTTTTTTTTCCATTGGTTTACTTTTAAAAGGGAGGAATTTATTTTCGCTCTAGAAGTTCTCAGCCGTGTGATAAACTTACCCGCCAATAAAATTACGTCCTGATCACGTGATAATTTTTTTATATATAAACTTTTTTTTATTGAAATTTGAAAAAGTGATCCGGCCGGGTGAAGTGAACCGAAAATTCGAATTTGTGTGGCCTTAATTCCCTTTGAAATAGGGATAACGTCATCTAAAATTTTCTGATTTTTTCATTTTTTGCAGTATCCACAACTATTTGATCAGGACCCCGAAATATATATGTAGAGGTCAGGTCCAGAAGTGGTCCAAAATACGCATTCTTTCAGGGCCGGAATTACGATAATTTCAGCCATTATCTAAATTAGGAAATATTATTTTGGCTGGGATTATCCATAAAAGGAATGATCTACATGATTTTTTTGACTCATTATACGCAAACTCTGACCTGACCCTTTTATGTATATTTCGGGGTCCTATTTGATCGTGACATCCTGATTTTGGATCAGAAAGTACTTCTTTCGTATATTTTCCCAAAAGAAAACTATTTTATAAAAATATTATGTAAATTAGGAATAAATGATCACTGACAATTACCTCTGCAATACCATCAGGACGTCGGACATTTATAATCATGTGATCCTGATCTGGTCATTCCAAAAAAACCAAAGATCGTCGGACTCACCAACCCACCAATCACACCACTGCACAAATTACTCTAATTCACATGATCACATCTCCTACCTTTAGAAGAATCTCCGAAATCCAAGAAATGTTATATAAGCTTCGTAATTATTTTTATTGACAAGCATCCCAAGAAATACAAAGTCATAGCAATTTTCTATTTTTCTTTCAATTTCTGTAATTACGGATTTTTGAGAAACAGTCTACTTTTACATGTAACTTTATATGTAACTTTGCTTATTCAATAAAAGATTATTACATTATTGTTATATTGCACATTTAAAGTTTTTACGATTTAGTATGTTAACAATTAAAAACATATATTTATTAATGCTTGCTCTTGGCCAGATATAGTTAACCTATAAACTGTTTCTCCTGAACACCATGTAGATGTGGCAAGCTTCGTTCAGGCTTACCTGCTACAACCAGTTTATAATTATTTAAGGGCAGTAACATATAATGGCCAATAAAATTTAAAAAGAAATTACGCAACCATTTTTCGCACTTAATTCTGGCCAAAGTCCTCATAATTCCGGCCAAAATCAGCTTAATGCGGGCCAGGGCTGCTTATTTTCGGGGTTGCTTAATTTCGGAACCGTATGGTATATGTCACTGTCCTTAATGGGTGATAAGCTACAAAATATTAAAAAATAAATGATGGGTTTATTAAGAAAAAATTGAGTAGAGACTGATCTGTGCCTCTTCTGTTACGTATTATACCTTCTAAATCCTTTACCTATGCACTAAAATGAGAAAGAAATTATTCTTAAATAAACTTTCCCATTTTACCCATATAATCATATATAAATATTTTGAACTATAGGACTAAGGACCAAGGATTAAACACAGGTTTCTCTACCAAATTTCAAATTTTATATTCGTTCAAGTATGCTTAATATGTGGAATACGTGGAAATACGTGGAGAGTTGGTTGTACCTTACCTTTGGCATACTTGACGAAATATAATAGAAGAAAAAAGAGGGAAAAAAGTAAGGGTAAAAAATTTTTTTCTACTTCATGAGGTATTTAAATATTAAAAATAACTATTGATACTCGTTGACTCATTGAAGATCACAATGTGCTGACTCATTTCTTTGTTAATGTTGTTAATAATAAAGGATGCAAATTAATAAGATGGAAAAAATTAAACGATAAACAAATAATTATGATCATTATTCCTAGAATTCTGATGGGAGTAGTTGTAACAAAGAAAGAATGTGAAAAATTTAGAATCAGATTGTAAATTGTACCTCTATTATTTTGTATTAATTCAACCCGAATTTTCTACAGGTCAACGTTGTACTCTAGGTCATTCTTTTCATGTTAATTGTCAGTGAAATAAAGAACTGGCTTCAACCTTTTATTAGAAATCATTTTCATCACATGTATAGTTGAGTATAATTTCTTGATTCAAACTATTAAATATGCACTGGCTTGAGACCTCGTTAAATAAAAATGCTTCGACATGGCATATGTGGCAATGAAATCTATTTATTCTTACTGTTATTTGGCTAGCGGAGTCTCATCCTCCAAATTTTATATTATATGATAAAGATATAAAAAATATATATGATTTACAGCTAGAAATATTATGTAAAAATTTACTTTATCAAGCAAATGGTAATAAAATCAACATACAGATAAGACAATTAAAAAAAGATTTTTGGATCACAAGTTGTATTGGGAATAATGGTAAAATTATAATAAAAATAAAAAATAGTTGTATTAGAGCCGCGATCAATTTATTGGCGACAAAAAACATTAAGTTATGTGATCACGTCTCGTTAAATTTAAAAGAAAATCATAAAATACAAGGAGGTTTGACGGAAATTAGAAGTATTTTAAATGATAAAGAATTCATGAAAGCAAAAAATTTATTAAAAAATAAAGGAATATTATTATTGGAACAGCTGTTAGATGCGAAGCTTATGAAATGGAAACATTTTTGCATAGAAATGAATGTAATTTTTTGGGAGTACAACCAAAATGGTATAAAATAATACGAGATATAATTACTATAGGTAATAGTAGATTTTAAAAAGAGAGTTCATTAAAAGAGAAAAACAAAAGTAAATAGAATAGAGGTTTTAATGAAGATGTTAAAATTAATAAAAATATGATTATAACGTGAAGTATTTTTAAAGAAAATGATGCTTCATATGGAAAGATGCATTTTAATTTAGTTATAGCATTTAAAAATAGAAAATAGAGATGATGTTGATTTTCTTTGTCATTAATGTTTAAAGATTTTGGTAAAACTAATCGAGAATGATAGTTCAAATGGATGATTATGATATAATATTAATACTGTAATATGATATTATTAATAATTCCTTCTAATAGTAACTATGTAATGGGCAGATAATGAGAATTTTTATTAAGTATTGACTTTATAAATGAGAGAAATATACAAAGACATCTTGATAATAATTACATGGTCGATCGAGTTATCTTTTATTTCTTTTATTGAAGAATGGTTAGATAAGTACAAAATTAATATTATCGAGGTAGAAAACATATTTTGCCTACATCATAGAGAAATATAAGAAGGATTTGGAAAGTTGATATTAAAAAAATCAACGTTCATTTATTAATGGATTATATGTTAAGACTCAAAAGTAGTAATAGAATTCGTGTTATTGGAAGAGTTTTTTAATTTCAGGAAATTATCATAACTGGGCTAAAGAAGTTACAATCGCTAATTACAAAAATGAAATATTGCATTAAATGATTTTTTGGTATTATTAGTCCTCATGAAATTGATTGGCAGAAGAAATTTGATTTATTAATCATAGAAATATTTATAACAAATTTCAATGTAATGAGAAGGATAGGTTAAAAATTATTTGAAAATTCTTCCAACATACGATTTATTACTAAATCCGTTATAAAGGTTACTAGTAATTACTATATCTAAAATGACAAGTAGTTATTATATGTAAAATATATATAAAAAAAAAATTTAGAAAAAATGAGGAATAAAATTAAGACACGTAAAAATGGGAGGAATAAAATCAAGACGTGTAAAAAGAGAGGAAGAAATCAAGTGTAAAATAAAATCAAGACGCGTAAAAAGAGAGATGTGTAAAAAAGGAAATAATAAAACAAAAAAGAGAGGGACAATAAAATGTAAAATAAAATCAAGACGCATAAAAAAATGGGTATAAAATCAAGAAGAGAGGAAATAATCAAGTGTAAAATAAAATTAAGACGCGTAAAAGGAGAGATGTATAAAAAAGGAAATGATAAAATCAATGTGAGATACGTAAAAAGAAAAATGTGTAAAAAAAGGGGGAATAAAATCAAGTAAAACCGAAAAAAAGAGAAGAATAAAATCAAGAAAAGAGGAAAACATCAAGATGCGTAAAAATAGGAGGAATACACCAAGCCGTGTAAACAAGATATGTAAAAGGGGGAGGATACATACTTATAAAAGATAGAAACATGTAAAAAAGAGAAGAATAAGATGCATAAAAAAAGAGAGAGAAAGATATGTAAGAAAGAAGATGTGTAAAAATATTTATTAAAAGTTAGCTAAGTATTCCAAGTTTACCGAATTTCAATTTAGATAGAAATGAAGCACAAATTTCAAATGAATTTAGTATACTTACAATAATTATACGTTTAATTTTACAAAAAAAGTAATAAGTATTAAATTTAACAAATACTAAAAATACTAAGACAATTATTACAAAAACTATATAAATTTTATACAATGACTTTTTACTGGGCAATGGGCATACTCCAATTTTCTTAAACAACTGAAGAGAAAAAAGAGAATTTATTTTTTAAACATTTATTATTTACTTTGTATTAAATTGAAAAAAAAATGTCAATCACTAACATTTCAGCCAAAATGTCCTCCAACAAAATAGATGATTCAGAGGAGGCAGAGTCAGCGAAATGCAAATGACTTTGGAAAAATGAGTTTATGCGAAACAGACTTTATAGGTGAAATATACCATAATCATTATAATTTATAAAAAATAATAAAATAAAAATATTGTATAAACGAACATTATTCAATAATTATTATACTTGTATTTAATAATATTTATTTTTGCCAAAATTGTAAATTACATAATATAAATATTTTCATAATTCAATAAATAATGAACAAGATCATTAATCTACAACCATACATTCAAAACACTCAGACTTTTCTTGAACGATTTCCTGAATTATGAATTCGGACTTTTCTTGAGCTAAAATTTCAGTAAATTTAGTAATTTTGCGACTTGTATAATATGCTTGTGGATGAGATTGCATAATAGAAGTATTTGCTTGTTCTTGTACTAAAGTTTTGTTTGCTTCTACAAATTCAAGCATATCATCTTTTAATTGATTATCAATATTACGTACTGAAAATTTATAATTTCCATCCTTGTTTATTTCATAATATTCATTAATACATCTAATCCATTCAGATACAATATATTCAAGCATTCTTATAGTTGGTCTATTAGAAGGATCTGAATCCCAACATTTTTTCATTAAATCTATATAACATTTTGGAGTATTTTTTATAATTTCAGGACGTTTTTCTTCTTCACAAACACTCAAGATAAGGTTATGATCATGTGCTTCATCTCCAAATGGAGGTTTACCTGATGTAAATTCCCACATTATCATTGAAAAACTATAAATATCACTTGCTGGTGTATAAGGATTACTTCTTAATATTTCAGGCGCCATATAAGGTAAAACTCCATAAATTTCATTATCATTATTATCAGAATCTTGTAAATCACTTATAGGTTTACATAATCCTAAATCAATAATGAATAACTCATTGTGATTATCTGATATTAAAATATTACCATCATGAAAATCACCATGAGTTAAATTTGATTCATGTATTACTTTAAGTCCTAATATAATTTTTTTCAATAGTTGTAATTTGTCTTGCCACTTAAATTTAATTATATCAGATAAACATTTTCTCAAGCTTCCTTTTTTTGCATAACTCATTACTATTATATAATTTAAATTATTTGGATCTTGGGTAATTCCAAAAAATTGAATAAATTTTGAAAATGATTTTTTCTGGCAATTATAATGATATTTCCACTATAAAAAAAAAAATTATTAAAATTTTTGTAAAGAAAATAAAATTTGCTATTAAATATAAGTACTTTACCTCATCCAAAAATTTATTATTTAAACTTGATGAATTATTAATTATTTTAAGAATGACTTCATAATCTGTTTGTCTAATCCATCGCTGTTTATCAAAATTCCAATTAAAAATAGGTCCATCTGACCAGATAGCTTTATGAATCTCACTAAATCCTCCTTTATTATAATAATTAATACTTAACAATTTATTATAAGGTATCCATTCTAAAATTTCATAACTATTTTTAGCATTTAATTGTGCATCCTGAATAAATTTATCAATAAATTCATTTCCACTAGTCCACTTTGAAAAATCTTGTTGAAACCGTTTAGTAATACATTGTTGACACCACTGGTAATCTATATATGGTTGATTACAGTTATTACATAATTCAACTTCATTATTAGTACTTGCTTTATCACTTTCTGCTGCTATTTGATTCCAATAAAAGGCTTTTTCTAAATTCCTATTTGTCCCTTCTCCATTATTGTAGCATCTTACTAAACTATTCATTGCTAATTTATTACCATAATTTTCTGCTGCTTTTTGATACAAATGAAAGGCTTTTTCTAAATTCTTTTCTGTTACTTCTCCATCTTCATAACATATGGCTAAATTATACATTGCACCAGTATGATCATTTTCCGCTGCTTTTTGAAACCAATGAAAGGCTTTTTCTAAATTCTTTTCTGTTCCTTCTCCATTAT